TGGACAGGAATGGTGCTGATGTACGTGGTTATTTCGTATGGAGTTTAATGGATAATTTTGAGTGGAGATTTGGCCACACCGTCAAATTTGGGCTTTATCATGTTGATCGTTTTTCTTTGAATCGAAGCCCAAAATTATCGGCCCATTGGTTTAGAGATTTTCTCACAAACACTAGCCTCAACAATATACAAGCAAAGAGCTCAATATGAAAATAATTTAATAGCGTATTTCTCGAACATAAATGATTTTAGACCTTCTTAATATGTATTTGATCGTCAAGAACATTAAGCAACATTTCAGTATTTTGAGTTTATCTTTGGAAAGAACTTCGTTGATTTCATTTACTTTGAGAAAGGACAATACGTGATGTCTTGATTTTTTATGAATATTTTGTGAGTTTATAGAATTTTCGAAGTACATATTTGTTAGGAAAAATTACAGAAATCCCACCTTTTAGTTTACTTATCACCATTATCCCCTATAAGTTTTACAAATCTCCAAAATCCCTCATTTTCGCGCATCAAATTAGTGTATCTCGCGCATCAGATTAGTGTATCATGTATAAAATGTACATCAAATTAGTGTATCATGTATAAAATGTAATGTATCTTACTTAACAATTAATGTATCAGCGCTTATATTATTGTATCCGTTTGAGAGATTTCTGTAATTATAAACTTTTAAGGGATAGATTGTAATTTTTCTTTAAATGTATGTGATTTCTGTAATTTGCCCTTTATTATCAATTTTAAAATGTGGGCTATAACCATAATAGGGGCTAGTACTCCTTCGGTCTCAAAGAGTATGTCATGTATTTTTTACACCTCCTTTTAATAGATATTAATTAGGAAGGGGTTTTGATAATTAATTAGTACTCTATTCAAGAACAATTACTATTATCCTAAACTGAGATAAATATTTTTAAAAATCACAATAAATAATTTTAAACAAAGAAAATAATTTGAAGCAATTATTTTTCTTAAAATTTGATCATTTTTTAATTGAGGGTGTAGGTTTTTCTCAATTAAGATCTTTATTTTCATATTTTTTAAAAATAGAAAAATATGAAGAAGTTTACGAAAAATATAACTCTCCATAAAACACATACCAAATTAAACCACAATTCTTTCGCATATGAAATTGTTTCTTTATAACCTAATAATATTTTGAGCAAATAGAGAAAGCTCTAAAGATGGGAAAAAAGGTTAAAATCAATAATGAACTTCCACTGCTTTTTTATTGGAACTTCATCAAAAAAGAACAAGGAGATGTTTCTACACCATGAAGGTATTTTTTTTTTGTTCTTGTTTGACTATCGAAGTAGAATCTTGACGTAATTACTAATAAAGTTGAAATTATGTGACTATAAGGTCACAAGTTTGAATTGTGGAAACAAATATTGCGTACAATAGATCCTTATGGTTCATAACAAAATCTTAGTGTTCATAACAAAAGTTTAGTACACACTAGATATGGCTAAAATTCAATTTTTTTTAAATGCAGGAAAGCCTTCAAAGAATATAATTGAAGAGATAAATCAGAAGGATATTGATTGGGTGAGTTTTATCAGGCACCATTGTTATTATTTCTTGTTTTAAATTAATTTTCTTTCATTATTTGTTTATAGCAAATAATTTGTGTTGCTCAACATTGCACACGTAAGTATATAAACACTTGTTTTAATTATTCTATCTAGGCCACTGAAATCTACTTTCCCGAGGAAATAATGGTGGAAATCCTCATCAGATTACATGTTCAGTCTCTTCTTCGATTTAAATGTGCTTCAAAATTTTGGAAGACATTGATCACGTCAGACCACTTTAAGGGAAAGCATTACAATCATGCTAAGAATAATAAAAAAATTATTATTACTCGATGGCTTCCTGATCATACGACTTCATATTATTGTTCTTCTTTATCATCGGCTCAACCATTACAAAAGCTTGGTAGTTGCCCTTCAAATAATAAACCAAACATGTATAAAGTATTATGTTGTTGTGATGGTTTGTCTCTTTTGCATTATTATTATGACTATTTACTGTGGAACCTGTCCACAAATGAATCAATACAACTTCCTTATATTGATTACCAAGAGTCAATCCATAGCACTTTCGGATTGGGATATGACTCGATTAGTAATGACTATAAGATTCTTAAGATTGACAACATCGGTGGTGGTGATTCCAGACCACCCAATAATATTCTTGCACTAAAGTGTGGTTCTTGGAGAAAAATTGATAACCATCCTCGTATCTTTCACAATTCTACATATCGTAATGACCCTTTGGCATTTGTTTGTGGTGCATTTCATTGGTTATCTAAGGATAATGTAAACAAGTATTTTATGATTTCGCTTAATATATCAAGTGAGGTGTACAGAGAGATAAAGTTGCCAGAGGGAATTTGTAATATTCTCAACATGAGGTTTATCAAACGAGACGTTTCAATAATAGAAGGAATGCTTTGTGCTTGTTGTAGTTGCCTACATGCAGGGTCGGGCACTTTTAAGTTATGGATAATGAAAGATTATGGTATCAAGGAATCTTGGACTATATTATAGTGTATACAAGATAGATATATCTATCACAATGTTGGCATACCGAAATATATATTTGCGAAAGATCAAATACTACTCATCTACAATTATGGTGTTTGTCGTGGGTATAGGACATCCACAGGTCTATTTGAATTGTTTCCTGCACATCATGGAATTCATCAAGGATTAGTTTACATGGAAAGTTTTATTTCTCCCAAATTACTTATTAAATAATAGCTTCTAAAATCTTACTTGTGAAATTGTATATACATGTATATGAAACTTTATTTAGACCAGTAAAACACGGATTTTATATATGTTTCATATAATTTTTATTTTTTATTTTTGTGCTTGGATTAAGATATATATATATATATTTATTTATTTTATTTTATTTTTATTTCCCATTAATAAATTATGATGGACAAAAATGGTGCTGATGTACGTGGTTACTAGTTTAATGGATAAGTTTGAGTGGAGATTTGGTTACACTGTCAAATTTAGGCTTTATCAGTTGATTCTTTTTCTTTGAATCGAAGCCCAAAATTTATCGGCCCATTGAATAGAGATTTTGTTACAAACACCAGCCTCAACAATATACAAGCAAAGAGCTCAAGATGAAAACACGTATTTCTCGAACATAAATGATTTATATTTTCTTGAGATGTATTTGATCATCAAGAACCTTAGGCAGCATTTCAGTATTTGGAGTTTATCTTTGGAAAGAACTTTGTTGATTTTATTGATTTTGAGAAATACAATATGTGATATCTCGATCTTTTTATAACTATTTTATATGTTTATAGAATTTTTGAGATACATGTTTATCATGGTTAGTGAGATTATATCGGTGCCCTACCTATGTTTTACTGATTTTTATATATTATGTCCTCCATTTCAAACATTTTGGTTTGTTCTGAATTGATATGTTAGGAACAAAAATTGAATCGTGTTATCTTAAACTAAGAACTATTGAAGAAATGAATCAATTTAATGTCATTGAAAGAGACGTTTGTAAATCAATTTTAAAGTGGTGGGCTAGAACTATAATAGGGGCTAGTAGCCTAGTACTCCCCCATCTCAAATTGTCTATCGTATTTATTTTTTACACATCCTCTTAACAAATATATTGATTAGGAAGGATTTTGATAATTAATTAGTACTCCATCCAAGATCAATTACTATTATCCTAAACTTCTAAACTGATAAATAATTTAAGATAATTATTTTTAAAAATCACAACATATAATTTTAGATAAAGAAAATAATATGAAAAAACAATTTTTAACACTAGATCATTTGAGAGGGAGTAGTTTTTTCCTTTTTTCTCCTCAATTTTTATTAGAAAGAGAAACTAATAACTAAATTATCGTTTACTTTAATTTTATAGAAAATATACTAATTAATTTGTTAGTTGGAGAAAATCCAGGCTACAAAATCTTCTAATTAATGATTCTTGTCTCTTGATGGCAACTTTTAAGATTTTTAATTTAACTTACCAGCTGGGTCAACCATTAGTATCCCCCTAATTACTTTTTTTTTCTTTTAATTTTGTTCTTATCTAAACTTAATGTGATATATTGAGAGATTAAAAGATTAAAATACGAGATTAACGTGTTTTATCTTTTGAAGTGAGGAGGTGAATTTTATATTTTAAAGTAACAAAGGTGTTTTACACGTTAAAATTCTCCTTGAGGTGACACTTATATTTTTGAACTTTTCAAGAAAAAAAATATTATTTTTTATATTTAAAAATAATCTAACTTTAAACTTTTTATCTTATCATTCATGCATAATTTCAGTGTCACGAAAATTGTCATCACTTGTTTTAAGCTAAATATTTCATCAATTTTACTTCTTTTTTTTCAATTTTCAAGCCTAATTAAACAAGTTAACATAAAAGAAAATAAAGTAATAAAGGGTATAAATAACCTACTCAATAAAGTTTTTTGGTTGGATTATAGCAAATTATAATAGGTATGAAAAATAAAACGATTTGAAGAATATATAACAACTAATAAAGAAGTAATAAAGGATTATACAACAACAATAACAATAATAACACATTTAATAAAATTCTACAAGTCGAGTTTGAGAAAGAGTAAAGTGCACACAAACTTTGTCACTATCTCGTAAAAGTAGAAAAATTATTTTTAAAAGACCTTCGATTCAAATATAACAAGTCATAACACATGACAAAGAAAACGATACCGAAAAACACATAGAAAGTAATAAAGGGTGCATTAAACTTGTAAATCCTTTTTATTAATAAAATATTTTCTATATATAAAGTGTACAACTCAGCTGTGGATATATTTTATTCAGAAATATGTCAAAATAATTAAAATATAAACCTCAAATAATTCAATATTCCTTTCAATTATTACTAGTAATTAATTAATCATTTTATTACTAATCCTATAAATACAACTTAGGCTCTATCTTAAATTATGACAAAAAAAAAATGAAGTTCTTCTATTTTATTTTTCACCTCTTAATATTGCAACATGTTTATTCAAATAGTATCATTAATTGCCAATTAGGAGAAAATTGCTTGGAAGAAGAAGTGAAGAAATCAGAATTTCCAGATGGTTTTCTATTTGGAACTTCAACTTCTGCATATCAAGTACTTCATACATCTTTCACTTTTAATTTTTGTTGTTTGGCGATAGAAATTATCCGTCATTAAAAAATTCTAGTATGTTTCTCTTGTCTTGTATATACAGTTAAATCTTTGTATAACAATTAATATCGTCTGTTCAGATATTTTTGGGGTGTTATTGTTAAGATATGAAAGATTGAAATGATTCCACATGAAACATGATTGACTGTTAAAGAGAGATCTGACAATCATTGATCTTCGTTGAAAATGCACATGATGAACATTTAATTTGTGTTAGATTGAAGGAGGATATATTGAAGATGGAAAAAGTCTTAGCAATTGGGATGTTTATTCTCATACAAATGGTAGCTTTCTAACATTATTTTCAGTTAATTTGTATAAAGATCTCTAATATATGTACCCAATTAAAAAAAAAGTTCTGTAATATATCCCTTTTATATAATCTAATAATAATGCATCTATTTTTATTTTATTTTTGGTTTAGGTAGCATAAAAAATGGAGGAAATGGAGATATAGCTGATGATCATTACCATCGTTACCTGGTAATAATAAAATTAATTATGTCATATATAAAATTAATTAATTATGCAAACATAAATTTAATTAAAACATACATCATATTGTATTTTAATTTATTTATTTTAAATAATTAATTAATTGTTATGGGCAGGAAGACATTGACATAATGGAGTCTCTTGGAGTAAATGCCTATCGATTTTCCATTTCTTGGAGTAGAGTTCTACCTAGTATGTTTCTTTTTCTTTCTTTCTTTCTTCATTAAAACTTATTGTTTGTATTAATTAAGAAAATGAGCTTGAGTCTAATGGATTGAAAAGTTAGCTCGAGAGGTAAGAATAACTTAAAATAAGATATGAATGACATAATATGGGAGCTGATCCGAGGACTAGCAAAAATATTCTTTAAGTCATTTCAATGGATTCATAAACCATACAATATTTCTCTGGATCATCATAGGGTACTTTCAGATATCCACACAAAAGAAGGTTTTTCTGTAATGGATGACCCTCGAAGTCATAATATATTCTTAAATTGTGCATATTTTCTAAACAGATGGGAGCTCCGGACCCATGAATCCTGCTGGAATAAAGTTTTACAATAATATCATTGATAATCTCTTACTCAAAGGTGAATTTTTATATATTAATAATATACATAACACATTATTTAATCTTATATAGAGTTGATCAAAATCAAGATTACTATAAAGTAATATTAGTAGGTTATTAAAATATATATGGCAGGAATAACACCATTTGTGACAATCCATCACAATGACTATCCTCAAGAACTTGAAGAAAGATATGGGGCATGGCTTAGTCCTTTCATGCAGTAAGTTTTATTTATTGATCACTCAAACGCTTAAATTAAAAATAGTCAGCAAGAATATAATATATGTATCACTGGAGGCGGAATTAGGTGGGGTCCGTAGATTATATATTTGTACTGAAAAATTAAATAAAGGGAAAAAGGACAAATATACCCCGAACTACCGTAAATGGTATGCAAATACCCTCCGTCATACTTTTGGGACATTGGTGCCCCTGCCGTCTAAATATTAGAGCATATAGATCCTTTGTACTAACGGACATACACGTGTCATAATCTTATCCACAAATTCAACATTTATTAAATATTCGATCGACGGATAAGATTGTGCCACGTGTCCATATTTAGTCTTCCGTTAGAGTGAAGGACATATATGTTCTTGTTTTTAGACGGCAGGGGCACCAATGTCCCAAAAGTATGACGGAGGGTATATATTTGTCCTTTCTCCCTTAAATAAATATATATGTATATTAACTTGGGAACCCAACAAAATTGATTGACTGTTCAATGGTACGATGGAATTAATGACCCCGAAACTCCTAATCCTAACTTTGCCTCTGTGTATCAGATATGTATAACCGTGTATACAATCAATATATATCTACTTATACTGGTTAAGAAAGTAAACAGTGAATTCAACTGACGTTAGATATAATTTTGAGTTTTTGTAGGGAAGAATTTGTGCACTTTGCATCAATATGTTTTAAGAATTTTGGGAATAGAGTGAAGTATTGGGCTACTATAAATGAGCCCAATTTATTTTCAGAACTAGCTTATATGAAGGGAATATTTCCACCAGTCCATTGTTCTCCCCCTTTTGGAAAATGTTCTTATGGTAATTCAGATATTGAACCTTTACTTGTTGTCCACAACTCAATTTTGGCTCATGCCAAGGCTGTCAAAATTTATCGTGACCAATTTCAGGTAAGTATTCGCGTTTACTTTCATTTTATTCTGTTTAAAAAAGAATGATATAATATATAATTAACGATTGAGTAGGTGGAACAACGAGGAATGATAGGAATGGTTGCGAGCGCGTATATGTACAGGCCAATGACAGATGATGAAGTTGACAAGAAGGCCGCAACTAGAGCTTTGACGTTTCATGTGGCATGGTACGTATGTATGACTTGATTTGATGCAAATGTTGACACCCAATTTTGACCTTCCCCGATAAGAAT